TATTTTCAATTCCCATTTAATATTTTTTTTTTTTTTTTTTGCAAAACTAATTCAATTAATAATTTAATTTTGTCTTTACAACTTCTCTTTGCAACTTCTCTTTACAACTTGTCTTTACAACAAAGTTTTTACAATTTGATTCAAAATCACGATATTTATACTATTAAAATATTTTATAAAATAAAAATAATTTTTATAATATAAAATTAATAATTATATTTATAAAATAACATTGACTAAAAAAAATTGAAATAATTAATACAAAAAAAAAAAAAAAAAAGAGGTGGTTAAATTTTCATTTTAAATAAGATTTTAATACTATTTCGTCCGTATGACAATATTGTCATTTGAAATTTGTTTAATTAGCGCATTGTTTAAATAACAAAATCTAAAAAAAAAGTTTTTCAACTAATATCAAAATATTCTAACTTTAATAATATATTAATTTCGATTTGCAGAATGGTTTAAACCAGCAGTGGTTCCTCAAACAAGCTTTTGATTTAAAGATCAAAAAATTCCAAGTGATTATGGAACAAAATCAACTTGTGACCGGACCAATAATTATTTAGGTGCTTCCATCTACCGACTGGTCTGATAAAAACTTCTCGATTGGTCTGATAAAAACTTCATGAATATATAAAATGAAACAATAAGATATCGGACAGACCTAGACTCAGTAAAGAAAGCAGCTAATATATTTATTAGAATTTACAAATATTATGGTCAACAATACCCAAAAATTGGAACAGTCTGAAAGCAATATATTTCGTTTGCAGGACCCTCAAAGAAGAGGACAATATTGAAAAAAACATTTTCGGAATATATCTCAACAATGCCCGAAAAAGATTTCTTATTGATATGTAACAGCGTAGATTATTATATAATAATACAACTGGAGCGAATGACTTAATGCCTGCATCTTGTTTAGTAAAATAAATTTCCGGTGGTTTGAACAGATTTTATTTTATGCTCAATCTATCTCCATAGAGACAGTGACAGTCCGGAAAAACAAATGGAAATGACCTAGCAGACATCCTGTGAAATGAAGAATTTTCAATTAATTATAGAATGTTATGCAAAAGCCCACGAATTATGCAAACTCGAATTTAATAATACATAATAATAATAATAATTATAATAATCACAAAACTAAATTAAAAATATATAAATTTAATTTTAAAATATATAAAGTAAAAAACTTTCCCTCAAAAATATTAAAAAAATTATATTATAAGGATAAATGAAATTGTAATAATAAAGAAATCTATTAATTATTTGTTAATTTTTTGCACAGTAAATGTTAGAGAAAATTTTATAAAATTTTTGTAATTTTAATTTTAAATAATAAATTTAATATTTATTAATAAACATTGAGATTAGCTTAAATATTGCTTTATATTGATTGCATACAAATATAAATATTAATCCATTAATGTTTAGTTTTTAAAATTAATTTTGTTATTAATCAGATTTTATTAATTATTTAAAATTTTATTAATTATTTGTTTTCTAAAATTTTATGAAATTAATGTTAATATTATTATTTAATTATATTGATAATAAAATTTTTGAAAATTTCAAAATTTAGAAAATATAATCGAATTTGAAATGACCATTTAATATTTTAGAATTTATAAAGAATAATATTGAAGAATTTAAAAAAAGTGTGCATCATCTGGTCAATTTGGAATTATAATTAGAATTTGTATTTTTTCTTTTCCAAAATTTTTAATTGTTTTAAATTATATTTTATTATTTTTTTTTTTTTTATATAAAATATTAGTTATTTTAATAATTGAGCTCTTTTCAATTTATTTTTTTCTCATAAATTTTAAAATGTTTTACAAAAAATATTTCCATTTTTTCATGTGTTTCTTTTTATTTTATCTATCTAGAATTTTAATAAAGTTTTGTTTGGCTTTTAAGAAAAAAATTTGTAAGTTTTTATAATATACAAGATCAGGATATTAAATATGTAATAATTTTTCAAATAATAAAGGCAATAATTTTCTTCTTTTTGTTTCGTATTTTTGAACATTTTGTTTTTTCAATTTCAATTGGTTTTTTTTTTTAAATTCATTTTTAATTTATGATTTGTTTGTTATTAGCAATAAATTTGTACATATGTAAAATTTTACAATTTTATTTTTTATATTTTTATTATATATATAAGATATGAAGTTAAAATATATAAATATTTTATTTTTACATATATACAAAATGAATTTTTTGTCTTTAAAATTTGATAAATCAATTAAATATGTTTGTTTTACAAAATTTTAATCACAGCCATTAATTAAAAGGACTTTGAAAAAAAATTTACAAAACTTTTATTTTATATCCGATATGGAAATTATAAAAAAGAAAAAAAAAAATAGATTAAGTAAATATAAAATTGTGAAATTTGATTTATTAATCAAAATATTATATAAATTAATTATTAAGTAAATAGAAAATTTAATTGAAATATTTAAAAGAGCCAAGAAATTTTTAATTAATATAATGAATTTAATATTAAAATATTTAATTATATCTGAATATATTTAAGATTTAAATTCTATTATGTATTATATGAAAAAAATAATTGAAAACGAAAATCAAAAATGGAAAAATTTATTTTTTAATATTGGAAATTTTTTTAATTATAAAAAGGCTCATAATATTTTCTTGTTATTTATTATTCTTTATGGTAGACTAGTCATCTACCTAATAAATTCCATGACGTATAAAACTGGTGTTCATGTTTATCTAAAATATTGGAACACCAGCCCTATGCTGCTCCCGAGGAGCGAAGTAGAAATAACAAAAAAAAAAAATTTATTATTTTTGTTATATTATTCTTGTTACAGTAATACCCCGTGTTACGTACGCTCGTTTTACGTACCCTCGCATTTACGTACATCTCATTTTTGTCCCCAATTGCCCATTATACGTACAATGATTCACACTTACGTACAAGTACATTTTTTCTGGTTTTGAAATTTATGGAAAAAAAAATTATGTATACCAAATTGAGAATGTACACTTGTAACAACGTGTTTTTGTATGTCTGTACATTATTTCTATGAAACCTAAATTTTGTTATGAGTGAATGCATGTAGAAACAAGTCAAAACAAAATCTATGTAAAGTGGAATAAGAACAAAACAAAAACAAAATTTTGTTTTGTTTTTTTAATACACGTTAAGTGTTAAATATGGTATAAAAACGTATGAAATAAAAGTATAAAACTGCATACATAATATCCCTCTTTTTCTTTTTATTTATACATATATTTATTGTTTTAGTTTGTTTCAAACATATTATTCATCAATAAAGTAGTAGATTCATTCTACGTACATTTTTGTTTTACGTACACGCTCCGGTCCCAAAGGGTACGTAAGTGCGGGGTATTACTGTACATGTTTTTATTTAATTAGCTAATCTAATCCTTTTAAAAATTTTTATTAAATTTATTTATTTTCATAATGATTGTAATTAAATACACAGAATTAATAAAAACTGATAATTAAATTATTTAGAAATTAATTAATAAATGAATAAAATTAAAAAAAAAGGAAAAGTATTTAAAATTTTAGTAAAAAATATTTTTTATAATTTTGTTTTACTACTTTAAATTTGTTTTTTTTTTTTGATAATTATACAATTATTTTTGATTTAAAAAAAGAAAACATTTAAATTTTTATTTACTATAATTTAATATTTATGCATATAATAGAATTATTGTATAATAGAATTAAAAATTTAATTAAAATTTTTGATAATTAATTTCGTACATAAAATATAATGAATGCATTTTTTCTTATTAATCTTATTTATAAATTTTGTTTCATTTAGTCTTAGTTTGTTTTTTAAAATATATATATATATTTTTCTATATAAATTTTTATTATTTTACATTATTATTTTAATTTCTTAAAAATTATTTTATTTATTTTATTATTTGTGTTCCTTTTTCTTTCTTTCTTTTAATATATACAATAATTGTTATTTATTATGTTTACTTAATAAACTATGAAAAAAAAAACAACAAAATTATTATTTTGCTGGTTAAATTTTTTAAATTTTGAAAAAAAAAATATTTTCATTTTCGTATTTAATTTTTAAATTAATTTTTTTTTATTTAAAATGAATTTAATTTAATTTAGTAATAATGAAAATATTTAATATTACATTTTAATATGAATGAATTAAAAATTAAAACCGTAATAGAAAATTATGTAAAAACAAAAAAAAATATATTTTATATTAAAAAAAAAATAAAAATGTAAATCACATCTTATTTACGTGTGTGTGTATGTGTTTTCATATTTAATTGAAAATTTCAATAAAATTAAATTTATTTATAATTAATTTTACAAATATAATATGCTCTTTTACATAATATATTTTTTTTGCGAAATAATTATACAATTTAGAATATTTAATAAATATAAATATTTTCGTTTTAATTAAAGATAATTATTAAAAATTAAAAATAAACTAAGTATTTGAATAAATCGCACCCCCGGATATATAGGAATTAATATTTCTGTTATATAGGAACAATTTACAAAAAAAAAAAAAATATTTTTTTAAATTTTTTTGTAAATGCACCTTTCCAAATTTTCAATTTATTTTGGATGTAATGTAATAAAAAATTAAACAAATTATTTGTACAATATACAAGATTTAATATTGTTATACAAAAGATAATTTAATATTGTTATATAAAATTGAAATTATTATTAATATTATATTTTATATTAAAAAATAGCAAATTGCAATTTACAAATGAAAATAAAATTTAACTAAAAAAGAAAACATAAAAAATATTTGACACATTTAATAATTATGATTATTTTCTGTTTTGTTTTTTGTTTTTTAATTTGACATTTAAATAATTAAAAAATACATATACACTCCTATTATATTTTTTATATATACATACATAAGTTTTAATATAAATTTACAAATATTTTATTTTATTTGTTGAATTTACTTAATATAATTTTTTTAAGGTCACGATGGTTCTAATATCGTTTTTATGATTTTTGATGGTTTACGTGATTGTTTATTATTTAATTTATTTTTAAATTGTAAATGTTTTTCCATACATTGTCTAATATTACCGCTACATTTAGTTGATATTGAATAATAACCGCTACTACTATAATTATTAATATCATCAGATAATGATGATGTAGATGATGTAGATGATGAATTATCAATAATTGATGATGTTTTTGTTGCTGTTGTTGTTGTTGATGACATTGATGGTTCATCATCATAATCATTATTTGGATCAAATGTACTTAATTTTTTTTTAATTATATTATCATTATTATTATTATTACTATTTGTAATATTAATTTTTTTATTATTAAAATTACAAAAGATTTTATTAAAAATTTCATTACGATTATCAAATGAAAATGGATTTGAACAATTACGTTTTGCCATTGTACAAATATCGGTATGTAAATTAGCTGAACGTAAATAATTATTTAAATTAATTTTTTCATCACATGAAAATTCTGAATATTTCATTCGTTTTGTTAATGATTCTGAATTGATATTTATTGGTTCCGTTATCCATTCATTTTCAATACTAAAAAAAATTAAATTTTATATTAAATAAATAATTTTTTTTAAATTGAATTATATAATTTTAAAATTAATTACATTCCACATGGTTTCCATTGTACTAAGATTTCTTTAATACCATTTGGTTTTGTTCTTCTTGCAATTGGATGACCATTAAATGCTAAACAATCACCTGGTGCACCATTAACTGCTGTTCTAATACGTATACGATGTACTAAACCTTCCATAATACCAGAATCGATATAATCGAACATACGAGCTTAAATAATTAAAACAAAAATTAATTAATTTAAATAGAAAATTAAATATACAATATAGCTGTAGTAAATATTAAATAATTTAGAATTAAATAGAAAAAGTGCAAGTTATATTTAAAAAATCAGAGATTTCGCAGGCTAATTAGCCTTAATGTCAGAATGTGGCTTATATTTAAAAAAAAATACAAGCGGCGAGCAGAGGATAGGAAAAATAATTTACTTTTTGTTATAGCATCAACAATTTTCGGAATTGTCGAAAATTTGAATTTGATTTAATAATTTGAGCAATAACTTCTCGGAAATACATAACTCGTAACATTACCGTAAAAATTACCGTAAAATAAAGGAATCAATGAATTTACATAATTTTAATAATTATTTTGGTAAACATACTTAGTTTTACTGAAAAAAACAAACATGGAAAGGGCTCATACATTTACACATACTTAATGCTTTACGAAAAGTAAAAATCTAATATTTTTTTTTCCACATTTGTATTCAACACACGTATTTAAGAATACAAGCTAGAAATTTTAATTTATTTATATATTTTTTTCATTAGATTAAGCACATTATCTATAAATTCATAATATAAATACTATTTTCATACATATCTATATATATATATGTTTATATATTTTTTGTGATTTCCTATGAAATATCCTTTTAAATATTGTTAAATAACATCTGTATATTTTACCATACATCTGTGATAATTACATACATAGACACACATTATATACTGTTGAATATTAAAATAATAAGCGATTATAATATATATGTACGTGTAGATCCCTGTATACATATACATTTAACAATCACATAATAAAATATTTATATTACAGCTGTAATATTTTATGTAGGATATTAAACCAGTTCAGAAAACTATTGCAATCATCATGATTTCAATTAATCAATTTCAATTGCATTAAGATTTAAAAAAAAAAAAAATTTTTTTTTTTTTTTTTATTATATGTGTGAGTATATATCTGTGTGATATTTAAAGGATGAAAGGAAATTTTGTTGAAATTATAGTGAAAAATTAAATTCTTATGTCAGGATTTCATTGAAGTCCTTTTTATTTTGTGCTTTCTTTCATATTAAATTAAAATATTGGTAAATTGATTAAATATAGAGAAAAATTTCCTTCCTTTTTTATACCCGTACGAACGTATGTTGGAAGGGTATACTAAATTTGCCTTACCGTTTGTAACGCTAAGAAGTAATGGTCTGAGATATAGACTCAAATACATGTTTTTGATCAACGTCGAATTCTGAGTCGATTTAGTTTTATGTGTTTGTCCTTCCGTCCGTTTGTCCGTCCGTATGTGACACAACGATAACTCAAAAACTAATTGAGCTAAGTTCATCTTTCATCATCATAATTTTCCCAAATGATTTTTTATAGTAAGAGTCAGAACCCTATTTAAATTGGATATGTTCGGAGTGCCGGTTCGAGTAGCTGCCTAATAACTGCCAAATTTTATTTAACTATATCTTAGAAACTATAAAAGCTGTGGTATAGAAATTTCGCACAAGCGAATATATATTGGTAGGGCCAATGTGTATGATAAAAGTTGTTGAAATTGCTTTGCTATTTCTGGTAGCTGCCAATACAACTTCAATAATAGTTTGAGACACACAGTAGTTTGGAAAACGCAGTACTGAAATTTTGCATATATACCATAATTATCATAATTAATACGGTAATACGACAACTTAAAGTCATAGTCTGTCTTATAGTCAGTTATGGCATTTTTATTGGCGTATCTGATAATAAATTCGTACGGGTATGATAGAGTTGACACGGTCAACTCTATTTTTTCTCGTTTCTTTTCATTTTATTTATTTTATTTTTTTTTTTTTGCCTTTTTGTTCTTTTAATTCTGTTTTCTTTTCTTTCTGATTTAATCCTTTCATTTAAATTTAATGAAATTTTTTGTTTTTTGATTTTCTGATTTTCTTTTCCTCTCTTACTACATATAGTCTTCCTTTTCTAAATATAGTATACAGAAAAAAAAAATTATATATAAAAAGGATTTTAAGGATAAGTATTTATTTTGAATAAATGTGCGTGTGTGTGTGTGTACAGAGATTTAAAACGAAAATTTTATTAAAGAGTAAACATTTTTTTTCTGATATTTGGTGGTAAAAGAAAAACGAATATTAGTTTTATTGTATATAAAAAAAATAAAGGATGAAGGGGTAGTGTGATAACAATGTGGTTGCAAAAAAAATAATATAGTGAGGGTTATCTACATATACTCTTGTATACTCAAACTATCGTAAACTATTTTAGAAAATAATAATAAATATACCGAGTGTTTCGTTAAATAATCATTGACAATTTGATTTCATACGAATCTAAGGTATTTTCATGTCGTCGCCTTGTATGTTACTCATTTCAGGAGCAACATACAAGGCGACGACAGTACGACTCATTTCTGCGTCGTACTAGGGTCCTAATATCTCTTCTATTGCTACGGTAGTGAGCAAGGAGGGTATATTACTTTCTTTTTAGGACTGCTGTGACCAGAGGAGCCTCATTTTCGGGTAGTAAATTTTGCAATTCTAATGTTTACATTGATTTCATATTGAGTTTAATTTTTTTTCTTCAATTACAATTACGGAACACTCTATATCTATTGTATTTTAATAAAAAAAAAATTAACATTTCATGATTAAATTAAAAATACAGCATGTTTAGGTACTTAAAAGGATTTAGTCTAAGGGATCACTTGTTGTGAATTTCAAAAATACAAAAAACAAAAAAAAAAGATGAAAATGGAAAATATTTTGTCATCTTGATTTTTTAGAATAAACTAAGTCATAAAAGTTATAAGATTAAAGGTCAAAAATAACTTGCCATTTTAGAGATTTTTTTTTTTTTTGTAATATTATAGGGAGGCTAAAATAATTTCGGCATCTTTTAATTTTTGTTGAATAACATTTTTTGATTTACTGTCGTAATTGTATGAGAAACAATAATTTTTAGATCTTGAGTAATTTGTTTAATTTACCTGAGAAAGGTTGAAGACGATATCGTAATTTTTTACCAGTTTTCTTTAATTGTTTTGGTACAGGTGGATCAGATGTTCTCTTCGGATTTGATTCTTTATTTTCTATTGTATTAAAATGTCCATTAACATGTTTTTGAAGTGCCAGCTGTAAAAAGTTATAATGAAACAAAATAATTATTGTTAACAGGAGAAATGTTATGATTTCAGATGAAAATTAAAATTTACCTGTGAACTAAATCTTAAACCACAGCCATCAACAATACATTTAAACATTTTTGAGCCACCATGTGATAAAACATGTCTTTCAAGCCATCTTCTTGAACATGATTCACGGGCATGCACCTTACAACCATTCCATAAACATTTAAATGGTCCTGTTTGTGAATTAACATGAATATTTTGTAAATGATCAATTAATTTTGAACAAGTTTCATGTTTTGTATTGCATCCATCCCAATAACAAAAACCATCACGTCGTTTAGGACCTTTTGTTCCGAAACGATAACCCATTTCACCAGGTGCTGGAAATCGTATAGTTTTTGGTTGTGATAAAATCGGACTTATGGCACATTTTTGTAATGTTTCAACACCAATTGTATCATCAATTTTTTCTATACTATTATTAGCGATTTCTGTATCAATTTCAGTTGGTTTTAGAATCGATGAATTTGTAATGAAATCAATTTTAGCAACAGGAGTTGAAATAGCTGAAGCTGATACTGTTGTTGTTGTAGAAAAAGTATTTGCTAATGTACATATTGAAGTTGATGATAATAAAGCCGATGATGATGATGATGACGATGATAGAATACATGGTGGTGTTACATTTGAAAAGAAAACATTTTTTGACATTGCAATATCCTCAAGTTTTACTTGAACTTCTGCTGCTAATTGAGAATCGTACATTTGTGAATCAATTGATAAATGTAATGATGATGTAGTTGTATCTTCAGCTGCAGCTGCAGCAATTGCATTTGCAACAACTCCAGATGAAATTGAAAATGATGAATTTGAGGATAAAGAAGATTCAGAAAATATTTTTAAATGTTGTGTTGTTTCCATTTTGATGACATCTTCCTTAATTGATTCATCAATTTGTTGTGAAAGGGATTCGAATTTTTCTTTAACCTTTTCATCAGCCATTGCGTCCACATTAGCTTCATAATTTTCTTTGAATTGTTCTTTATAATTTTGTCGTAATTTTTCTTCAAATGCAATCAATTTTTTTTCAAGTTTTTCATCGAAATTATTTTCGAAAATATTTTGGAAATTATTTTTCATACTGTCTTCGAAAATGTCGTCTGCTATCTTATTTTCGAAATTTTCTTTATTAAAGTTTTTATAATTGTTATGGTCCAAACTTTCATTTTGTTCTTCTTTTTCGATTATTTCCTTTTTCTCTTTAATTATCTCGTGACTATCTTCTTCATCTTCTTCCTCTTCTTTTTTACAATCTGAATCTATTTCATTACCGAAAGACATGTCTTCCTTAATAATAAGTTTACCTTCGAACTCAGACTTGTCACATTCGGATTTTTCATCGAATCCACCTGATTCTTCTGAACTTTCTTTCGTTGCAGCTTTTGAAAAGCTTTCATCTAACATTTCATCTAAAGATACTGATTTCGAATGATTTGTATCGTTTTCCTTACAATTTGATAATGCGTTCTTACTTAACGAATCATCACTGTCTTCAGTTATTTTACTTTCTTCTGCTGGAAGTTTAATATCATTTGGCATCGTTACAATGTCTTTTGGTTTTGGGATTATAGTACTTTCTGTTTTTCGTTCAGCATTTTCAATAAGTTTTTCATTAATTTGTTGTTCAATTTTGCCTTCGAAACTAAGTTCAGGTATGTGATCAGACTTTGTATCAGATTCAGTTTTTGATTCATAGTGAGGCGTTAATAGTTTTTCCCTTGATATTGGCACGATTGGCGGTGGAAGAGTACTTATATTTACTGGCTTTTTAATTTCTTCCAACGGTGGTGGGGACGATCTATTGAAACTAATCTTAGTCTTATTATCTATTGGCAGTTTTATGGTATTTTTGTTTGAGATCGGTACCAGTGGAACCAATGGCATCATATTAATTTTATCTTTTGGACGAATTTTTTGCTGACTTTGTTGCAGTTTAATATTTGCTGTATTTTGTTTAGCGCCACGCTTTTTACGTTGAGGCTTAACATTTGAACTTAACGAATTTAATGCTGATGGTTTTCGACCTCTTTGATTGGGTTTTGCAATGCTTGAAATTTTCTTAACAATTTCCGTATTACTTAAAACTAAAGGTGGAGGAGGAACTTGTGAGGACGAGATCATTGCAGTTTTAGGTATTGATGTAGGTAATTGACCAGATTTAGCTAAAACTGCTGCGGCAGCTACTGCAGCAGCCGTGGCATTTGAATTATTGCCATTTCCAAAATTTGAAAGATTAGATGCAGGCAAAAGAGGAGGTAGAAGCTTAGGCTCTTGTTGTGCATTTGAACAAATAGCATTTTGTAAAAAACTGCTCCCTGTTGTTGTTGAATCTGATTGTTGTGTTGCAGCATTTAAAATAAAAGAAGCAGCTTGTTGTTGTTGATGATTTTGATGAGCTTGTAAAATTGCACTCAAGCTTGGCAAAAAACTGGCTGCATTATTAGTGGCTTGCTGATTCACACTTGAAGTCGAAGTTTGTATTGAAGGTGACTGAATCGGTTGCAACGCAGGCAAAGTTTGAGGAATAGCGTTTTGTGATTTTGCAGCGGAATTAGCAAAAATAGCTCCAGTTGGCAGTGTTGTAGCATTCAGTAAATATCCGTTTGATGTTGCCATGAATAATTGAGGTGCCGTAATTCGACTCAAATGTGGAGGTTGAGCTGCTAAAATACTTGGTGTTTGAGTTGGTTGTAAACTAGAAAGAACACTATTTGTGGCGATTGTTTTTGTTTGTTGCGTTGAAGCTGCCGTTGTTGTAGTTGTGTTTATTGTACTTAATGGTATCACATTTTGAGCCAACGAAGATTTCATTAATAAATTAGTTAATTGTGTGGGGTCCATTGCTAGAAGACCATTTGTGGCAGTGTTTTGTTGCGGATTCGATTGGCTGGCAGCAGCAGCAGCTGCAGCAATTTGTTGTTGGAATTTTATAACAGTTCCATACAACTGTAATTGTGCAGCGGCAGCAGCTGCTGCTATATTAGCATTATTAACTCTTGCAGCAGTAGTCAATTGACCATTTGGCTGTACAAGTAAATTTGTAGCACCGTTTGCATTGGCTGCCGCAATAATATTTGGGATTTGAACCAAATTTGGCATCATCGGTATTTGATAAAGAGATCCTGCGGCAGTAGCAGCATTGGCTATTGCAGCTGCTGTATTATTTTGATTGTTATGTTGAGCTGAATTCAATTTCGTATTTTGTGATGATGCTGCAATATTTGTAGCAGTTTTATTCAATTGATTTGCTGCATTGGCCAGTTGCAATTGTGCAGCTTGTTGTTGTGGTATACGAATTGCTGTTAGTAAAACTGCTGGTTGAGGATTTTGTTGAGTTCCTGGTGCGCTTACTTGTAATTTTGCTGGATCAATACTTTGTAATGGTGGTGGTTGTGAATGATTTGGTGCATTTCCTACAGTTGCAGACGCTAATAAAACAGGATTACCACCTTTGACCTGAGACGGTTGACTTGTTGATTGATTTGTTAATGAATTTATTGTTTTCGGTTTAATATCACCGATACGTGGAGCAATTGCAACCGGTTTTTTTGGAGATTTTGGTGCTAAAAGAGGCAACTGTAAATTTGTTTGAGCTGATGTTGTTTTACGTAAATTTGGTGCAACTTGAGCAACTTTTGTTTTACTACGATCAATTTTTCTAAGTAATGGTGGTATAGATGATATTGTACGAGTTTTTGAATTATTTGATGCAACTGTTGTCGTATTTATTGTTGTTATACATGTTGTTGTTGTCGTTGATGTTGTTATTGATTTTATATCCATGGGTTGTGCCGCATGATTTAATGGTTTGGATTTTTGTTTCATTTTGAAATAACCCGTAATTTTTGTTTGTGATTCTTCATTGGCAGCCAATTTCAGTCTTTTATTAGTTATATTATTATTATTTATTGATGTATTTAATAAAGTTGTTTTTAATGGTTGCTGTGTTATAGCTGATGATGAATTATTTGTTGTAGCAGCAGCAGCAGCAGCGGCAGCAGCAATAAGTCCTATTTGATTTGATAATATTGATGCTGAATGTGTTGTACTTATTAAAGGTGGAATACTTTGGTTTAATAAAGTATTGTTATTATTACTATTGTTATTATTATTACTATTATTATTATTATTATTGTTAATACTATTATTATTATTTAAACGTGTTTTTTTATTGGCAGCTAAACTTGTTAGTGAACAATTATTATTATTACTATTATTATTATTATTTATATTATCATTCACATTTAACGTTGATGATCTTTTATTATTCTTATTATTATTTATTTTAAAATTAGTTGAACTTAAATTATTAATATTATTATTAACAATATTACTCATTCCACTATTCACATTAATGCTACCGGCGCCAATTATTGTGTTAGTAGAATTTGTTATATTTTGAGTATTATTATTTAAAGTCTGATTGTTGGCAGTGTTAATTGAATTTAATGGTAACGAAGACAACGATTGTGATAATGATGAAGAAGAAGTTGTTGTCGTTGTTAATGCTGTTGTAGTAGTTGCTGTTATTGATGTTGTTGATGATAATATGGCAGGTGATAATATTTTATCATTATTTTTTATTTTATCATTTATACTATTATTATTATTATTAATATTATTATTATTTGTATGAATTTTATGCCATGACCATAAATTTAAATTTAATTTCTGTTGTTGTATAAGGTTCTGTTGCTGTTGTTGTTGTAAATTATTTTGATTTTGTGATTGTAATATTTGATTATTTAATTGTAATGCTGCTACTGCTGTTAATTGATTTGATTTATGTTGCATAGATGATGATAATGGTGAATTAATTGCTGTTACTGGAATTAATTTATCAATTGATGCTATTTGAGCAGCAGCTGATGTTTGTGTAACACAATTATCTATTTGTTTTGATGTTATTATGTTTTTTATATTATTATTATTAGTATTATTATTATTATCATTATTATTAGAATTTGGTGTTATAGAAGATTCAGTTAATTTTGTTTTAGATAAAAGAACTTGTGATGGAGGCATTATTAATGATTGCGTTGAATTTATTAAAGATTTTGTTGTTGTTGTTGTTGTTGTTGTTAATGCAGCATCAATTTTTGGTGATAATATAACATTTTTATTAGTAATATTAACATTACTATTATTATTGTTATTATTATTATTATTTGATATAGCTAATATAGATGATAAAGGTGATGAGATCGATGAGGATAATAATGTTGTTGTTGATAATGATGTTGATAATTTTTGTTTTCTAATATTTTGATTTTGTAGATCATCTCCGTTACCACTTAATGGACTATATGGTGAACCAGGATCTGATGCATCAGATGATGCTGTTGATGAATCTGTACAACTTAATGTTGCCACGCCACTATAATTTTTTTTTTTGTGATTTTTTTTTTTTTTTTTTTGTAAGTGAACAGAGAAAAAAAAATTTATATATTATGAGAATGAAATTTTAATCCTTTTTATGTAAGAAATATAAAAATGAATAAAATATTTAATAAAGTGATAAAATTGATTTAAAAATCACTATAAATTTTTTTTTTTGATTTTTTTTTTCATTTTCCACTTTAAAACTTTATTATTTTTTCAACATTTTCAATTCATTTCTTTTCTATTTTTTAATATTATTACAATTAATTTAATTTATAATTTAAATTGGAAATATCCGCTCATATGTGTTCATATTTTAAATTTTTCTCTACATCTTTAGTTAAGAAATTTATGTATATATATGTACGTATGAATATGTAAGAATGTATAAATAAAAGGCACTAAATTTCTTTAATTATTGATAATATTGTATAAATTTTTTTTGTTCTTATTATTTTTTATTTTATATCCTTGAATAAATTTTTCTTCTTCACTTCCGAAAAATTACTTATTTTTTAAGTATACTTAATTTTCTAATATATTTTTTTTTATAATTATTAATTTTGAATATTTAATTTAAAAAAAAAAATTGATTTAATTTCAGCTATTGTATAACACTTTTTCTTTCTTTAATTAAATTCAATTTATATAATCTATAAATCTATTTTTTTTAATTAATTTTATTTAATTTAATTTATTTATTTATTTTTTTTATAATATTTTTCTAATAAAATATCTAATGATTACACTATAAGAGAAAATGGCTGACTAAATTTTATAGTTTCAACCAAAAATCTTTAGACCAAATAGTCAAAAATATACAACAAAAAAAAAAAAAAAAATAATAAAACCGAAAACGAAAGAAAAATTACAAAAATAACAAAAAAAAAAAAAAAAAATCTGTTTTTGTTATTCTTGTTGCCTGTTCTTACAATACTATACAAAATATACTATATAATATAAAAGAGCGGCGGCAGCAGCAGCTAAAATAATGATAATAAAACAACAACAACAACAAATACAATCAAAAACAGTTAAGCAGTTACGCAGAGCAAAAGAACAGAACAAATAAAAAAAGAAAAAATTTAAGAAGAATTTCAAAGGAAATTCTAAATTTTTTTAAATATATACATGTAAAATATATGCGTACGTATACGTATATAACGTATTCACACACATTCATGTGAATTTTAACTTGTATAAATACCGTTTTATAAAAATGTATATAAAACAAGGACTTGTATATATATATATGTATTCATACATTATATATATCCATATAATATATATATGTATATATATCTATACAATTATATATACATATATATATATCCATCAATTATATATATATATGTATATATATCCATACATGTAACCTTTATATCAATTTTTGGAACAATATTTATTGTACCTATATATATGATATATATGTATATATGTATATATATATATGTATATATGAGTACGTGAGTGTGTTTCAAACATTACATATATATATATATATATATATATATCACAATTCTATATATATATATATACATTATATTGATGTGTATATGTATACACCTTTCAAAGAATGTGTACGTAATATATAGTGAAAGAAGGCAAAAAAAAAAGAAGTGTAAAAGAAAGAAAGAAAAGGAAATAGAGGAAAAAAAAATTTTTTTTTTTACCCTCTATAAAAATCCTTACAAAATATATTTTCACTCACTCACACTCATTTAATATCACTCACTCACTAAATTTTTGTTTTTAATTTTTATTTTCAATTTTCTTTCGTTTTTCTGTTTCTTTTTTAAACGTACAGAATATAGGTACGTATTTTGCGTACGTACTCGTATATATATTTATGTATATTTGTATAACATATTTTTATGGGATGAAAACAGGAAAAAAAAAAAATTTTAAAAGGCACAGAAGCAGAGAAGATTACAAATACACCATCATCATCCTCATCTACATAGAAATTATTTTTACAATTGTGTACATATGTATATATGGATATAGGTATACATATTATGATTGTATAGGTCTACTTAATAAAATATGAATAAAACCATATCTCCCAGTTAGACAATTTTAAGAATCATTTATTTAAAAACAAGTAAAAACGTTTCAGTCGGTATAAACCGATTGAATTATACCCTGCACCTTTCGTTATTATGTAGCAATTACACGAACCCGTGAAGTCATTCTATAAAAACTTCACGGATATGTCTGACCTATAATTGGACATCCGACTGCCAAGTTTCATGAATCTGACTTTATAATTTTTCCAAATATTTAAAATTAGCTTTAGGAGTTGTATGGCAAGTACCTGAACGTGTCAAGCAATTCCATCAAAACTTCATATATCTGATCTACAATCGGACACACAACTGCCAAGTTTCATGAATCTGACTTTATTATTTTTCCAAATATTAAGAATAAGCTTTTAGGCTTGTATGGTATCTACTCGAACCTGTTAAGCAATTCCACCAAAACTTCAGAAATATATCCGACCTGTAACTCGACATACAAGTGCCAAGTTTCATGAATCTGACTTTATTATTTTTCCAAATATTTAAAATAAGCTTTTGGAGTTGTATGGCAAGTACCCGAACCTGCCAAGCAATTCCACTAAAACCTCACAAATATATCTGATCTACAATCGGACACACAACTGCTAAGTTTCATTAATCTGACTTTATTATTTTTCCAAATATTAAGAATAAACTTTTAGACTTGTATGGGAGCTACTCGAACCTGCCAAGCAATCCCACCAAAACTTCAGAAATATATCTGACCTATAACTCGACATACAACTGCCAAGTTTCATGAATCTGACTTTATTATTTTTACAAATATTTAAAATAAGCTTTTGGAGTTGTATGGCAAGTACCCGAACCTGTCAAGCAATTCCACTAAAACTTCACAAATATATCTGATCTACAATCGGACACACAACTGCCAAGTTTCATGAATCTCACTTTATTGTTTTTCCAAATATTTAAAATTAGCTTCTGGAGTTGTATGGCAGGTACCCGAACCTGTCAAGCAATTCTTCTAAAACTTCAGAAATACATTTGACCTATAATTGGACACATGACTACCAAGTTTCACGAATCTGACTTTATTATTTTGCCAAATATAAAAAATTTGCTGTTGGAGTTGTATGGCAGCCACCCGAACCGGTGCAGCTATCCCATTATAATTTTTAGAGCATGTGTAGAATATAATTGGACACATGTATACAAAATTTTATATTAATAGCTTTATTAGTTTTCGAAATATTTAAAATAAACTCCTTGAGTTGTATGGCAGCTACCCGAACCCGTTGTCCGAATTAGTCCAATAACAATAGGGTTCGTCCTTGGCACAAAAGAAAAAACTTGTGAAAGTTTGGTGTCGATAGCATTATTCGTTTTTGAGTTATCGTGCGATCGGACGGACGGACGGACGGACGGACGGACGGACGGACGGACGGACGGACGGACGGACATGTCTAAATCGACGCAGAATTTTACGCTGAGCAAGAATATATATATATGTCCATACCGCAGATGACTCCTTCAAGTAGTTACAAACTCCATACCAAAGTTAATATACCCTTCACGAAGTGCAGGGTATAAAAAGGGGTCGAACTTAATTTATTTGTCAATATTTTTTCAGTTCTATATGAAAGATATTTTTAGTTCTTTGGAATTTAATTTTTTATTAAAACGTTTCAAATTGAGCAGTAACTTGAGACATTTCGTAATTTAAAAAATTGGAATCTTTTGTACGCATTTGGCCTTTATTATAATGGCGATTATGAGACTTGAGTTTTTTCTATCAAAGTGAGTTACATTTTTTTATTTAAATTTGACCTACGAGTATTAAATTTCTTAAGGGTGGAAATATTGACCGCACACATATACATGTATAAGGGGTTCAATTACTGAAATGTTGAAATTTTACATATTTCTTAAGTGCTCGTTTAAGATTACAAGAAAGTTACTAAATAAAATAATTTTTCTATAATTTTCGAATATTTTTAAAAAAGTTAAAAATTTTAAGTAAAAATTATTTAGTGAAATAGAGCCCTAGTTCTTTAATTTAAAAATGTAATTTATAAATTACATTAGAAAAAAATAAGAGTTTAGGGTTTCGTAAACTAGATCTTATATTATAACACGTATTGCATCATAATTTCTAAAAATCACACTTAGTGATAAGCCACTAAATTTAGTTAGTGATTGCATGAATAATTTAAAAATATTTTATTTTCAAAATGATTAAAAATGAAGAAATAAAAATCCGACTGGGTAAATTTTTATATGTATAATAAAATAGGCCTAATATGGTATTGAATACATTTTAAATACATACACATACATTCATACATAACAAATATTTGGGTACATATGTAGATACTTATCTGCAGAATTCTGAATGATATCGAAATTTTTTTTTTTTTTGCCTCGCTCTTTACTCTTTTCCGTGGTTCCTAAAAAATTTTTCTTTAAATTTTTTTTCTTCGTAAAATTTTTTTTTTATTTTTTATTTTCTTTTTTTTATTTTTTATTTTTTTTTTATGACTTTTTTTTCATTTTTGAAATTCTTTACTCTGTTGATATTTTCCCTGTGATCCCTTTTGGGCTATATTTACCAATATATTCAAATGTATTTTTGTATATTAGGTTTATGTGTGTGCAATTGTATGTTTATACTATAAAATGTTGTAAGTTATGTGTTTTTTTTTTTTTTGTTGTTAATTTTTTTTTTGTTATTTTTATTATTATTTTTATATGAAATGGATGGCCTTTTAAAGGTCTTCAAAATCATTATTGTATTTTTTTTTTTAATTTTATTTTCTTTTATTTTTTTTTCTTTCCGTCAATATTTCATATTCTAGTTCTCATGGAAAAGGTTACCGCAGGGTTGAATGATTTTGGATATTAATGAAATTTGTTAAGTGTTATACTGAGAAAAAATATTAATGACCTTAAATTAGAAATTTTCTATAAATATTGCTCAGCAAATAATGTAGCAATGGTTAATCGAAACAACGAATTTAAGAATTATCACTCAAG